AATCTATAGCTATTGTTATAGTAAAAACAACTGAGGTAAAGTTGGTTTTATATTCACACATTCGTTCAGTGATAACTTGTTCCACAACCCCTATAAGGTTTACCACGCTAACGTGAAATATCTAGTCTGACATCTCAAGTAAAGGCTTTAAAACAACATTAGCACCCTTCAATTGACTGTACTATGATAGTCATTAGCTGATAATATGATTTCCTATTTAATATTTTGTTTTAAAAGTATTTTATTAAGGAGAAAGTCTGACTGTCTAAATAAAAAACCAACTTTACCTCAAAGTAGAAGCATCCTAATCTGAACAACGGCCAATGAATCAAAAGACGCCTAGACTTGTATAATAAATCCCGGATTAATTCAGCATGAACTCTACCTGATGCCACTCACATTAATGTTCCCACTAGAACCTTCAGCCACAACCCTGTCCATCTCCGTCCTCATGTTGTCCATCTCCATCCTCAGCTCCTCCAGCGACAGGTTGTATTTGTTCACCATGGTCTCGAACATCTCCAGCACGCGGACGATCTTGAACTGTAAATCCGAGATCTCCCGGTTTCCACCCGTGTTTACTTTTAGCAAATCTCTGCCAATCACGTATGAAATGTCATAAACATCTTCAACCGTCAGTTCCAGCACGTCCTTGTCGAAAGCTTGCGTTGGTGAATTGTCGTGTCGTCCTTCCATAACGGCTCCAGATGAACTACAGTAATACTAAAAAAAAGTTGTGTTACCGAAGATATGAGGAGATCCAGCTGAGCTCACCGTCCCAGTGTTTTCGGTAACTACCCGACAACTTCCTCTTCCAAACCGACTCCTCTACTTTACTTGAACTTTCAGGGTTTGATTGACGTGGAAATCAGCCAATCAGTGAGCTAGTTGACTTCACGAGCCACACAGCCGGGCTCTACGGCAAGCCAAATTAGCTTAAAGGAAACCCTTTTTAGAAGATGTAAAACAAGTCTCTGAGAGTGTTTTCGCTGAAAATACTTCACAAATAATGCTATATAACGTATTGAAACTGCCCCTTTTAAATTTTGATTCAAATTGTGCTGTGTTGGTGACTGACGCTTTAAATTTAAATTTGATTGTGCTCATTTCAAAAGAGGGCGGAGCTACAAACCCATATGAGTCTGCATAGTGGCAGATTCAAAACATGACTAACGTTACATGAGGAGAATCTTTGATGATTTTATTTCCACAAATCTTAAATGTGCGCACACTACAAGATACTATTAAGATTATCAGCATCCACTGTGTAAAACATATGCTGGATAAAGTGACCGGCGTAACCCACGGCACATGCAACATGCGTAGCTGTGCATTTATACTTCTGCGCGCTGTCTCTGTGGGTCTGCATTAACACTTCAGAAACGCTAGTTGGCAGTGAGGTGTAAATGTTCCTCTGTGTCGAGTTTCTTTGCAGCTTTTTTGCTTTTCCTGAACACTTCCGGGATGTACAAGTGGCTCAAACTCGCTCATTTTGAGGCAGGAAGCGGCAGACGTGCAACAACTTTAACTATGAGGTAAACACAAAACAAAACTTTCCATCCGGAGCTCCTTCACGAGACTCCACACTTGTAAACAATCGCTCCATCAGGCTCGCACCATTTACGCGGCTCTCGGTCCCGCCCAGACTCGTTAGCGATACCAAGCCAATCAATCACAGAGCTTGCGCTACCCGTCATTGCGACGTGTAGTTACATTTTTTGAGAGGTGCACGTCAGCGACGCGGACGGCCACGGTGAAGGGCTATGCGTCAGCGCTGTAGCATACACCGGCGTTTGACGCCAAAGCATAAATCACCCTTAAGTCGGCGGTTCATTCCGCTGTGGCAACCCCAGATTAATAAAGGGACTAAGCCAAAAAGAAAATGAATAATTAATAATAATAAAAATAATAATAATGAGATGAAAATCTTGCATAAATTGGGCTTTAGTCACTGACTTTATCTTCAGGAGGTAAAGACTCTAATGGTGGTAGGTTGCTTCTTACTCAAACCTATTTATGATATGAGAAAAATATCGAGATCGTCAGTAACGGGTGGGGCATTATGCCTTTGTTTGTTGTGAATACACACCCTCTAGTGGCCAAAACGACATACTGTGCCTTCAAATATAGAGCTGTGTAATTCAACTTTTGATTGTACAATTACAAAAAGAGCTTTCTAATTTAATTATAGAGCTCTGCTAGTGCATTCGTAATAGTAAAAATTTAATTTGAGAGTTCTGTGATTAAATTCTTGCCAGTAAAAATGCCATAATGAGTAAAGTTGAGTGCAGTTTGAGCTAATTTGGCTTGCCAAACAACTCCATGAGCAATTCTGTATTTCTCCGTATTATTATTTGTGTTATTTATCTATTTACTAATTACTACACAAGGACAACAAAAGTTCTGTATGTCAGTGGCTTTAATGGTCATCTGGAAGTTATATTAGATGTTTACTTCAGAATTATGTTTCTTCATGGTTCTTAATTGTGGTGTGCAACTTCATCAAAGATCAGTCAAGCTCTTCGTTCATTCATTTTCTTTTCAGATTAGTCTGTTATTAATCTGGGGTTGCCACAGGGGAATGAACCGCCAACTTATCCAGCATATGTTTTATGCAGCGGATGCCCTTCCATCACTGGGAAACACCCATACACACTCATTCACACACATACACTACAAACAATTTAGCTTACCCAGTTCACCTATACCACATGTCTTTGGGGGAAACCGGAGGAAACCCAGGCCAACACAGGGAGAACATGCAAACTCCACACAAAAGCTAGCCGGGGCTTGAACCAGCGGCCTTCTTGTTGTGAGGTGATTGTGCTACCCACTGCGCCACCGTGACGCCCTAAGCTCTTCATATTTGCTAGAAATTTCAAGGTAAGTGTGATGATGGGGTAATCTGGATCAAACCTCTACTAGAGAAGCAATAAACCCCCTGACTATCAGTGATTGCTCATCATGACTCTGTATTGGAGGTGTCATGTGTATGTCAGTCCACTGTGTGGCAGCAGTTCTTCCTTTTCTCGCTTTGGTCTTTAATAGTTCACCCAAAAATGAAAGTTCATCATTTCATCACACTCAAGTGGTTCTAAACCTTTATGAACGTCTTTCTTCTGTTGAACACAAAACAAAATATGCTGAAAAACACTGGGAACCATTGACATTCACAATAGGAACTATTCATTCTTCATTCATTTTCTAGTCGGCTTAATCCCTTTATTAATCCAGGGTCGCCACAGCGGAATGAACCGCCACAATGGAAACTAAAACTACAATAATACTAATGACAGTTTTTTCCAGCATTCTTATCGGGGGGAGTGGACGGTCCCTTTCTGCTATTTACACCTAAATATATTTCTTTTACATATTTTCCATCTAATTTTTATTTCAATATAATCCATAAAATGACATGGGTATTATTATTATTATTATCATTATTATTATTATTATTATTATTATTATTATTATTATTATTATTATTATTATTATTATTATTATTTGTCTCCAAAAAGGAATAGTTTAAAAGAAGCACTGTTTGGTATTCTCTGTATTAATATAAATAAAAAAGTCAAGCAATGAAATACATTATTTTTATTTTAGTGTTACTGTCAAACTGTCAAGGATGATCTTCTTAAAGGGACGGTTCATCCAGAATGAACATTCATTAATCATTTACTCATCCTGTATTGTTCTAAACCTTTTAGAATTTCTGTCTTCTGTCGATCACAAAAGAAGATGTTTTGAAAAATGTTTGAAAATTTACTTCCATATTATTTTATGTGGTCCTGTCAGTAACTGCTTTTCCCCAAATTTTCTTCAGAATATCTTACTTTGTGTTCAACAGAAAACATTTTTAAATGCTACTTCTTTTCTTTTTCTCCTTATTAATTTATTTACTCTCATGCATTTTTCTTTGCAATTTAATCTCCTTTTAAATTACTGCCTTTATGAATCATCTTCTTCTACCAACTAACATTAATATTATTGTTGTTATATCTTATATATTTTTTTATTCCTCCTTTTTTCTTTCAAACACAAACCATATACACTCGCCGGCCACTTTATTAGGTTAGGTACACCTTACTAGTACCAGGTTGGACCACATTTTGCCTTCAGAACTTCCTTAATCCTTCGTGGCAGAGATTCAACAAGATTCTGGAAATATTCCTCAGAGAATTTGCTCCATATTGACATGATAGCATCACGCAGTTGCTGAAGATTTGTCGGCTGCACATTCATAATGCTAATCTCCCATTCCACCACATCCCAAAGGTGCTCCATTGGATTGAGCTCTGGTGACTGTGGAGGCCATTTGAGTACAGTGAACTCGATGCCATGTTCAATAAACCAGTCTGAGATGATTCACGCTTTAAGACATGGTGTGTTATCCTGCTGGAAGTAGCCATCAGAAGATGGAGACACTGTGATAATAAAGGGATGGACATGGTCAGAAACAATACTAAGGTAGGCTGTGGTGTTGACACGATGCTCATTTGGTACTAATGAGCCCAAAGAGTGCCAAGAAAATCTCCCCCACACCGCTAGACAGGTACCTAATAAAGTGGCCGGTGAGTGTAGGCACACATTTAGAGATCTAATTGATCTTAAAAGTCAATTATTTATCAAATGCTCATAACAATCTCACACAAACACCTCATATAAATACATAAGCAACATTCAATCTCATTTTATTGTGTAAAAGCATAATAAAACAAATACATAAATAGAAAAGGCTATCATAAATACATAAAATAGGCATTAGAGAGTGAGTAAATGGTGAGCAATTGTTCATTTTTGTGGGAACTACCCCTTTGATCGATCACAGTGCGGTCGATTTGAACATAACTACTTAATTATTGACATTGTGTTTGAATTGTGTCGCCAAAAAAGAAGTGGGCCCCTTGTGTGTGTAACCTGACCGGCCGTCTTGTGGTCACAAAAACCCGTGTAGTGATCCGAGCGCACACACTGGCGGTGACGTCATGCCGCATAGAAAGACACACAGTGCACATGCGCAGTTCACTCCCTGCTCCAAAGGGAATCATCGAGCTCCTTCATCGCTCCCGAGTACCGACCTTTTTCCCTGTTCATGAACTGGATTCAATCGTTTTGCTATCCTCGTAATGGACTCTCAGAAAGTAAGTGTCCCTTTAAAATCAAATATCTGAAATATCTCGGCTTTATATTGAGGTTGAACGCTTATTATCTTGCTCATCGTGTACGCAGCACCGTTAATAACCGTAGCGTTAGAGCTTTTGAAATAGACACTTGTCTTGCTTTCATAACAACGAAATGTAAACAAATATACCTCATTTACTCTATATATTATCTGTTTTTGTGGCCTTTGTGGATTGACATTGAAGTTAATTGTGTTTTAAAAATAGGGTTTGACCTGTAGCTATATTCAGGAGAAAGAAAGTGAGGATTTATATAAGAATAAGATGTGTACATGGGCTGATCTCTGGTTACATAAGAAATTATGTTAAGTGCTATATGTATTTTAAATGACAGTAGCACTGTGTGATTGTGGCCCATTCTGTAGGCTAATATGTGTTATTACACTGATATAAGATGTAGATTTTAAAATGAGATTTTCTGCTTAATTTATGCTCTAATTTATGCCTTATAGCAGAATAATGAGAGAGATATTTTTTTGAGAAATTGTTATAACTTTTCTTGAAAGTCAAGTTTACATACAATAAGATTATTTTGCCTCTGAAAAAGCTCAGATGATGATATCAAGGTTTTGGAAGCTAATTGACAACATTTGAGTTAATTGGAGGCACAACTGTAAAATAGTATTTAAGGAAACCCTAAACACACTGCTTCCTTGTGTGACTACATGGGAAAATTAACAAGCCAGAATCAATAAAAAAGCCTGATTACAATTTGCTTAATTACACTGGGAAACAGAATAATTTTTGGAGACATGTCCTGTGGTCTGATGGAACTAAGATTGAACTGTTTGGCCATAATGAGCAGTGTTACACTTGGAGGACAAAGGGGAAAGATTACAAGCCTAGGAACACCATCCCAAACTGTGAAGTATGGGGGCGACAGCATCATGTTGTGGGGCTGTTTTGCTGCAGGAGGGACTGGTCCACTTTACAGCATAGATGGCATCATGAAGAGAGAACATTATGTAGAAATACTGAAGCAACATCTCAAGACATCAGCCAGGAAATTAAAACTTACCCACAAATGGGTCTTCCAAACAGACCATGACTTTAAGCATACTGCCAAATTAGTTAAAATGTGGTTTAAGGACAACAGAGTGAATGTTTTGGAGTGGCCATCACAAAGCCCTGAGCTCAATCCTGTAGAAAATGTGTGGGCAGAGTTGGCAAGACAGCCAACAAATCTGACTTAGTTGCACCAATTTTGTCAGGAGGAATGGGCCAAAATTCCTGCAAACTATTGTGAGAAGTTTGTGGATACCCAAAGTTTGTGGATACCCAAAACATTTGACCAAAGTTAAACAGTTTAAAAGCAAAGCTAAAAAATACAGAGGAAATGTATGTAAACTTTTAAATGTGTAGAAATTAATAAAATATTCTCAAAAAAAAAAAAACCAATTCTCTCAGTATTCTGGCATTTAGCAAATGTAAATCATTTAGGTTATCCTAACAAACCTAAAATAGTAAACGTTTAGTATTTTTTAACACCAGACATTTAAAAAAAATGCTTATCTTATCTTATAGAGTGTATGTAAACTTCTGGTTTCAACTGTATATTATATAACAATGCCAGTGACTCGTGACCCTCACAATATTATTTATTTATTCATTTAAATTATTATTTTTAAATAAGTGTTGCACACACAACGATATGCCTATATAAACTTGAGCATACTGACAACATAAAAGTGCCACAATTTAACAACCATAGGTTATAATTTAAAATAGTCATTTATTAATTTGTTTAACTTAATGTTAACCTCACCTAATGAGACTGATGGACACAATGTTTTCAGCACAAGACTATTCTTGATTTAATTTTGGAGACCGCCACTCAGAGATCTCTCTCAATATTCAGTTGTGGCCTGTATTTAATTTTAATGTATTTGATTGCCATAAAGGTGTCACCAAGTTTAACCTGCCGCTCTAACGTAAACACAATCCTATGAAAAATAATTCGAAGACTGATGGCTTTTTATTTGCATGTAGTTGTTTTTTTGTGTAACTATTAACTACTATTTTTATGTTCTGTAGGTTATGGAATAAATATGGTAATTTAAATAGTTTAATACAATTAATTTTCTATTAGAATTTTTATTGACTTTTGGAAATCACCAAGCGTCCTCCTGTCATTGTCCTGCGACCCCCACTTTGGGAACCACTGGATTAGAGGAAGGAATATCCTTGTACATGAGTGAAATCTGACTGTGTTGTAGGGAAGTGGGTCATTTCATTATGGGTCTTGCAAAGGAGTCTGATTTCACAGAGGTTGTAAGACGCGACGGTTGGACTTTTCAGCCGCGCCGTTCACCTGGAACTCAAACTGAAGCTCCTCTAAAAGTCCAGCAGTCTGCGAAAGCCTGACGGGATCAGATTGCAGCCCCTGAAAGTTAGATCAGGTTTACATGCTAGTGAATCTGTCACAAAAGCCAAGCGTATTCTTTATGCTGCATTCACTTCTGCAGTTCAGGGTGTGGATCTTGTGGTGGTCAAAGAGCAAACACAGATAGCTGGAAGCTAACGTGTCTTATATGTCTAATCTGGGTCAGCTCTCATGTTTCTCTTTGCCGTTGACTGTCAATAGTTGTGTGTTGAAGAAAGTGGAAGTGCAAGCTGAATGTTGCAGAGACACAGTTTCAAGTGTGTGAATCTTTCGACAGATCTATAGCGGTTTTAACACTCAGCTGAATGGCAAACATGACAGAGACAAACATCAGTGGCAGTGTTTCCAGATCTGCTCACGTGATTGTTTGTTTAATTTCTTTGTTTTTCTTCATGCATCACATGTCCTGATGTGTCATCTTAAGCATGTTTTGTTTGCTGACCGTGGGTTGTCTCTTTAAAAAAAGTACATTAAATGCACAAAATGATTATACATGTTGAGGATTTATATTGTAATTGTGTATTTTATGCTTTGTTTAGATTTAAAGTCAAAATCGACTCTTTTGTTAATGCGAAATTTCATTAAAACCTAATTATTTTATAAAGCTTGCAATTTTGGCCGCCAAAAAAAGTACAATTAAATACACAGAAAAAAGAGGTATAGGTGTTCTAAATAAAGGGAAGAGGATTTATATTGTAGTCGTAGTTTTTACGCTTTGTTTTACACTTTGAGTCACTAAACTCAACACAGGCTCATTGTGAATATGTACCCCTGCATATATTTCTGGAGAATTATGTAGCCAGAGTTACTTATGGCTGCTTTTCATCTTCAAATAAACAATACGGGGAGGAGCTGCTGATGGCTTCAGTTTCATTTGCGCTACCGGCTGACCGCTTACCTCCGTGTGGACGGCTTTTCTGCTGTTACCAGTTTGTCCAGTGCCTCACTGCGTACCACGATGACGAGGTTCAAGTCCGGTGAAGAGTGGTTTCAGAAAGCAGGTAAAACAAAAAGCAAAAAATAAAATAAACAAGTGAAAAACAGGGTGAAAATGTGGGAAAATCTGAAAACGTAGTGAAATCAGGCGACCACGAGGGCTTTATTTTTCTGGATTGCTTTCGAAAACACTATCGGTTGAGATTAGGGAAGTGGGTATACATTGGTCAATTAGTCTTTTTAAAACACTATTGGTTGGGTTTAGGGAAGGGGTGGTGGGTCAGTCGTTCAGTCAGTCAGTCAGTCAACAGCGGCCTCTGGTGGATTTACGTGAGAATAGCAGGCACAAATGGAATTCGCGAGAGAAATTTGAGATCTGAAAAAGCGTAAAAGTGGGGGATTTGCGAAAACAAAAATAGCAAAAAAACTAAGCTCCTGGGACGTATTTGGCACTGTCCAGAAATGTATATAGTGGTATGTATCAATAATGAGCCTGGGTTGACTAAATCAAATGTTTGTAGTTTACACAGAGATAATAACAGTAAACTTTTTCTAAAAATGCCTATTTTATTATTGCGAAATTTGATTAAAACCTAATTATTTTCAAAAGCTTGCATTTTTGGCCGCCAAAAAAGTACAATTAAATACACAGAAAAAAGAGGTATAGGTGTTAGAAATAAAGGGAAGAGGATTTATATTGTAATTGTTGTTTTTATGCTTTGTTTAGATTTAAAGTCGCTAAATCTCAAGTCTGTAGTTTACACAGAGACGATAACAGTCATCTTTTTCTAACATTTTCAGGCTGCCAAAATGTTATTTTTGTGTAAATGTTAGCCAAAATACAATAAGCCATTTCTGTTTTTAGTTTAATTTCCTAGTCATGTGCTGTGAGAGACAAGGGATTTGCTGTCATAGGCTTTTGCCGGTATGAAATTTTCTTGCTGCAATACATTTTTGATGCTTTTATCATGATATATACTGTATTATCACGATATTTACCTGCAAATGAGCTGCAAAATGATCTACAAATTGAGCTTCAAAATGAGTGAGACTGGAAGTGGTACTTTACTGTAAATATCTTAAATAATACTATTCAAATGGTCCCTGCAAAAAGGGCAAAAAGAAAAGTAGATTATGAAGGAGGAAATGTTTTGCGGAGCTGAGAGAAAAATTTATTAATAAGTAAATTACTCAATAAATTATTTTGCAATGTGCTCTTGCTGTGACTGATCGAGCAAATGTTTCTTTGTTTCTGTTTAAAGCTATTTTAAAGCTTATTTATTGTGATATAGTGCTCTCTCATTGGCTGTTGGTCATCGATCGGAGATGTTTTTTTTTTAGTCAGAACTCATTTCACACAGCATGATTTGAGATCGCCGATAAGTCCAGATATTTAGCATGCCAAATATTTCACAGGCGTCTGAGAATCTCATGTATTTGATTATTCACACTGTGTGATTGTCGCTCACGCAATCCGATTTACTTCTGGTTTCTGGCTTTTGTTAAGTGATAAATCAGGGTTAAATTCGTACAGTGTGAACTAGTGATGTTCTCCACTGAGTGACCCAAGAGTAGCCTCTCTCTCTTTCTCTGGATTAGTCCCAGAACTCCTTATCCTCAACCATCACTCTCTCCTGGAGTCAGACTATAGAGTGTGGTCTGGATTTGAAGGGTTTAGGGATGTCTGACCAGAATAGTAAGCTCTGCGTCATTCAGGCTCTACCCTATTGTTGACTGTGTCTGAACAGTCATTGCAATGCAGTTTTGTGATGAGGGCAGTATTAATTAGCATTGCTGCAAACTTATTTTTTGTATTCACATTGCAGTATATGCATTTATATTAAGACATAGCTTAGCAAAGTACATCATTGTCATATCTTGCTGCTTGTGGTTAGTTTTTATGCTGTTCTTTTTGGATAATATTTGATCTACAACATATATCATGTGCCTGTTAGGTACACTGTTAAAATACTGGCTTCCACACATTTGATTTGTGTTGGGACAACGTAAAGAAATGAAGTTACTTATTAGTTTTTACAAATGTAAGTGGATTGAACATAAAACAATTAAGTTGTCCCAAAATAAATGGGGAATTGTGTTTTTTCAGCTCATTTTTAGTTTGAACAAACAGCAAATGTCTTTTTTTTGAGTGTATAATTGGTATACCTGTATAAATATTAGATATACATATTATCAAATTTCATTGCAAAATGTGCAAAATATTACATTTGGAATTGTTCATTATATCTACTCGATGTGGCTTTAGCAAGACTTTCCTCAAAATAAATAATTTCACATAATATATATATATATATATATATATATATATATATATATATATATATATATATATATATATATGTGTGTGTGTGTGTGTGTGTGTGTGTGTGTGTGTGTGTGTGTGTGTAATTTGATAAAACGTAATTCACAAATGAAAAAAAAAGATTAATAAAAGTTATCTGTCATTTAGAAATGAATCATCTTCATTTTACGAATCCTTGCGTATTTATGCATCAGCTTCGATTGGTGTGTGAATATTTCTGTTCATATCATACCAAAGAAGCAATAAGAACCAAGGAATTAATTCTGCAGTAATAATAATAATTTAACTGGTGTTGTTGTTTCGCAATGGTTTTGCTTTGATGTTTATGTTATGTTATGGTGTAGCGCATGCTTTAAATGCATACTATTATTCTTTGTTAGTTAATTGGAGTGATTGTTCTTTAGGCTAAACATAGAGTGCAGTAATCCCTCAGTCTGCTTAATCATGGTGTGCTCTCTCTCTCTCTCTCTCTCTCTCTCTCTCTCTTTCTCTCTCTCTTTCTCTCTCTCAGCATCTGATCAGATAAGGATATTGGGTTTCTCTGATCAGACATTCTGCATTCGCTACACTGTAAAAAATTTAATGACAAGAAGTCAAGACAATAAACATTTCATTTAATACATTCATCTGGTGCCAATTTTTAAAAAAATGTAAACAGTTTAACTTAATATTTTGAATCAGTTTGATTGATGCAAGTTGAGACAACCAGAAAAGTTAATTTGACTCAACTCAAAATTTTAAGGCAACAAGATGGAAATAAAAAATTATTCATTTGATTTGCTACTTTTTTTTCAAGGTAAACTGATTGCACACAGAAAATATGGGCTGAATTTAAACAAACAAATTACATTCAGTATTGTTTGTTTACATTGTTTACAAAACTAATATTCAGCTTAATTTATTTGCTTAAATTCAGCCCAAATAAATTGTTTGCAACCACTGACCTTAAAAAAGTAAATACATTTACATTTTACATTTAGTCATTAAGCAGACGCTTTTATCCAAAGCGACTTACAAATGAGGACAAGGAAGCAATTTTCACAACTAAGAGCAACAATGAATAAGTGCTATAGGCAAGTTTCAGGTCTGAAACTAAATTCAATGACTATTTATTTCAATGCATTTTAAACCTCATTTCTTGAGCCACGAATATGTCCATTCGTTGTTTCCCCACCTGTGACCAGAGGATCGTCCTTCGCTTTCACTGAAATTTGATTATCTTTGCATATATGGCCCTGTCATGGAAAGCTGCATCACTATGTTTCTCCTTCAGAGAATTACACACTGCATTTCTGTGCACTTCTTACTTGGCCATGTCAGTTATTTTAGTTTTTGTGTTTGTGAAACCCCACAGTTAATTATAGAAAACCATACAACAGTTTGCACATTGGCAGACTTAAAGTTTAGACCTGTGGCTTCTACACTGAAAAAAAGGCATTATTGTAATATATAGTGTATAGTATTATAGTATATAGTATTATAGTATATATATATATAGTATATAGTGATGGCAAACAATTTATATGGGCTCAATATAATCTGATTAAATTTAGTAATGTTCAACTTCATTTTTTTGTTTAAATTCAGCCCATATACAATGTTTGCAATCACTCACCTTAAAATAATGTTTAATAAATCCGAAGTTTATGCAGGAAACTTAATTTAACTGACTAACAACAGTGCATTAATTTAAACTAATTAAAATGCAAATAAACCGATCACACACTTAAATTCTAATTAAAACTACACTGTAAAAAATATGAACAATAAGTCATGACAAGGGCGGCTTGGTAGCTCAGTGGTTAGCACTGCTGCCTCACAGCAAGAAGGTTGCTAATTCAAGTCCCGGCTGGGCCAGTTGGCATTTCTGTGTGGAGTTTGCATGTTCTCCCCGTGTTGGCATGTTTTTTTTCCCCCACAGTCCAAACACATGCTTTATAGGTAAATTGAATAAACTAAATTGGCCGTAGTGTATGTGTGTGTGTGAATAAGAGTATGGGTGTTTCCAAGTACTGGGTTGCGGCTGGAAGGGCATCCACTGCATGAAACATATGCCGGAATAGTTAGAGGTTCATTCCGCTGTGGCAACCCCTGATAAATATGGGACTAGGCGAAAGAACATGATTGAATGCATGATAAGAATAATAATAAGGGATTTTTCTAAAGTGCAAAGCAAATAAAAGAGCATGTTATTCCTCAGCAGAGCATCTGAGAGATTTCCGCATGAGTTGCTATATAGGACACGCTGAACAAACCTCTGAGGATAGATAGAGATGTATATAAAAAAAGGTCAGATGTTTTCTGCTGTACAAAATCAAGGCTGATATAAATAGTGCTGGTTTTAAAACGTAATACAGTGATGCAGTTTAGAAAAGATCGCTGTGTCATTCATTAAATGTGTACAAGCATAGACGTTAGACATGATGATTGCCTTTTGAAATGTTCATATTTTCTTTAAATCCTCCAGCTGAAGGTGTTTGTTCATTTTCTGGTCCTTTATCTCTAGTTTTCATCAACAAGCATGCTGTTTAAAAGCGTGATACACAGATCTAGCGGAGTGTGTTTCTGCTTTACAGAGAAAGTAAAGCGGGAAGAGCAATGGCTGATACTTTACAGCAAAATAATTAGTAATTGCTAAGGGTGTCACGATCCTCCAAATCCTCGATTCGATTACATTTTCGATTCTAAAGGCACGATTCGATTTTCGATTATGAACAATTAATTAATTAATGAGCAATTAATTATTTGTAGCCTACCGTTTAAACTACCTGACCTGCATGGTCTTTGTTTTACCCATAAACAAATCATACAGTAAATGAATAAAGGCAAGATACACACATGATTACCACCTGTCAATCACTTTTCTGCGGGACTCGTGAATAGGCAGTGATCTGTGTCGGTATAATGGCGTCAGTAAAAAAGACGCACAACCAACAGGAACCAGCCAACAGTATCTGAGGTGTTCGCTAAAATGACGAAGTACAAGTGAGTGAAAGATTGAAGCAGACCTGCTGTCTCGAGCGCATGGCTGTGTGTGCGTCTGTGTCTGTGTGGTCACGTGATGTGCATTTTCAGAGGCAGAGAGGAAGGAGGGCTGCTCAGAAATGCTACACGCCACTGTGGATGTCAAATCGTTGTCGTTCTAAAATGCCATTTAAAAACAAAGACAGTGTAAACAGGGCCTGAGTGTGCACTTTTCGTGAGCGGAATTGCAACGGGGGCGGGCGGAGGATCGCGATGCCGGTGTTGTCTAACGGACGAACCGTACGTAATACGTACATAGCAGAGCTTGCAAAACTGTGTTTTTTTTTGTCGACAACACGAACGCTGTCAACATAACTCACTGGAAATCCAAAATACTTCCACACCGGCGACTTCATTGAAAGAGGAGAGGGTTTAAGTTCTGTTGACGGGTCTCCTGCGTCTGCAGTTTAACAAGCACTTCAACAAGCCAAGCTTTGGCAAGCCAAGCTGACGTGACATGGGGGCGTGGCAGCATCGACGATTCTATTTTTTGATTCGATAATCGAAATCGAGCATAAATTTCGATCGATTTCGATTAAAAATCGAAATCGTGACACCCCTAGTAATTGCTCTGTTTAAGGATGCATATTTTTTCTTTTTAATGAAATCTCTGCTCCTCTGAGGGCTTTTCTGTGTTTCTAAACTAAATGCTTTTTCTAAATGTTCTATCTTGATTTGCATGTGATGCTTATGAGTGTCACTGAAACTAGATTCAGCTGAATTTAACATTAGAACTGTGTATTGTATTGCGTTAGTTCTGATGATGACTCTGACTGAGAGACTGTTACTTGTGTTTAAAGTGTTTTTGCTTTCTTTCACAGGATGCCTTACAGAGGATAATCGCCACATTAGCAAACAAAAATGAGGAGCTCCATAATTTCATTGAAACGCTGAATCACACTTTAGATCGGGTTCAGGTGAGCACTTTAACAGCACGAACTCAGCAACACTGAACAGCAGCGGATACACCCGCAAACACACATTTAATCTGCCGCAAGGTACTGCGATATCATTTATTACACAATGCATTACATAAGGGATGAAAGAGAACCAACACACTGAGCTATATTTGTCCATGCACAAATACGCTCACAGGCCACTTTATTAGGTACACCTGTCCAACTGCTTGTTAATGCAAATCATCCAATAACATGGCAGCAACTCAATGCATTCAGGCATTTAGACATGGTTAATACGACCTGCTGCAGTTCAAAGCAAGCATCAGAATGGAGAAGAAAGGGGATTTAAGTGACTTTGAATGTGGCATTATTGTTGGTTCCAAACAGGCTGGTCTGAGTATTTCAGAAACTTCTGATCTACTGGGATTTTCATGCACAACCATCTCTAGGGTTTACAGAAAATAATCTGACAAAGAGGAAATATCCAGTGAGCGGCAGTTCTGTGGGTGCAAATGCCTTGTTGATGCCAGAGGTCAGAGGAGAATGGCCAGACTGGTTCCAGTTGATAGAAAGGCAACAGTAACTCAAATAAGCACTCGCTACAACCGAGGTCTGCAGAAGAGCATGTCTGAACACACAACACATCCAACCTTGAGGCGGATGGGCTACAGCAGCAGACGACCGCACCGGGTGCCGCTCCTGTCAGCTAAGAACAGGAAACTGAGGCTACAATTCACACAGGCTCACCAAAACTGAACAACAGAAGATTGGAGAAACGTTGCCTGCTCTCATGAGTCTCCATTTCTGCTGCCACATTCGCATGGTCGGGTCAGAATTTAGAGTCAACAACATGAAAGCATGGATCCATCCTGCCTTGTATCAACGGTTCAGGCTGGTGGTGTAATGGTGTGGGGGATACTTCTTGGCACACTTTGGGCTCATTAGTACCAATTGAGCATGGTGTCAACACCACAGCCTACCTGAGTATTGTTGCTGACCATGTCCATCCCTTTATGATCACAGTGTACTCATCTTCTGATGGCTACTTCCAGCAGGATAACGCACCATGTCATAAAGCGTGAATCATCTCAGACTGGTTTATTGAACATGACGATGAGTTCCCTGTACTCAAATGGCCTCCACAGTCACCAGAGCTCAATCCAATAGAGCACCTTTGGGATGTGGTGGAACGGGAGATTCACATCATGGATGTTTAGCCGACAAATCTGCAGCAACTGTGTGATGCTATCATGTCAATATAGAGCAAAATCTCTGAGGAATATTTCCAGTACCTTGTTGAATCTCTGCCACGAAGGATTAAGGCAGTTCTGATATATATAAAATCTTTTTAAAAAACCTGCATTGAGATGATCCAAGCGGTCTAGGAAAGCTAGAAAAATAAAATAGCATTAACTTAATTACATTAATAAAGTATTTAATTAAAACAAACAGCAAAACCAGTCTTATATTAGTCAAAAATACATTGTTTAGGTCAAAATGATGGATTTGATTGCTAGAAATCATTAGAATATTAAGTAAAAATCTTGTTCTATGAAGATATCTTTTAAATATCCTACTGCAAATATATCTAATGCATTTTTGATTAGTAATATGCACTGCTGAGATCCTAATTTAGACAACTCTACAGGTGATTTTGGTGAAAATAGTTTCATCTCGGGCAAATTGTGTCCTATTCTAAACATGCACACCTATTTCATCAACTTTCACATAATGCATAAATCTCAATCTCTAAAAATGCACACACGGATGACTGGTTTTGTGGTTCAGCGTCACATATTTGAAAAATTGATCTGGTCAGTCATTTATGTTTTGATTCAAAATTTGTTTCAGGTCAACTCTACACAGGTGGTGTCGGATTTGGAGGAGGAATTCGACACGCTGTACTCTATTCTGGATGAGATGAAGGAGAGCATGACGAGTACCATCAAACAGGAGTCGCTCCGCAAATCACACGAGCTGCAGGTAACATAGCACAAGAGTTATGAATATGTGTTTTTGAGAAAATAAAAATACAGGGTTGAGTTCAGGGATAGGCTTGTGATAGGGTGATAGAAATAAAAATACAGTTTCTACAGGATAAAAGCAATGGAAACCTATGGAATGTCCTCGTAATTCACAAAAACAAGCCTGTGTGTTTGTGCATACACCTGTAGTGTTGTTGTAGTAGAAGTCTTGTGGGTGTGTGTGTGTGTTTATGTGTGTGTGTGGCTGGCTTTGGTTAGCCTGATGATGTCATGGTGCTGTAATGGCAGTATTGTGCCCAGCCCTCTAAGTCCACTGAACAGGAACAATAGCAGAGAGAGAAATGAGCTCAGATACGTGATTAACCATAGGCTCTCTTCCCTTCCCATCCTTACCCACATAACCGAACGTAAACATGCTGATCTTCATCACTGACTGCCACAGGGACTCTCTTTTTTTTTTTTTTTTAACTTTCTTTATTATTTTTTTTACATTTTCAAACACATCGACTTAAATTTAAACAATAAAACTTACAATACACAACCCCAAATCAGATTGGGACAGTATGCAAAACGCAAATAAAAAAGAAAGTCTTGATTTCCAACTTCACTTTAACTTGTATTTCATTGCAGACAACACAACAAACGCTATTTAATGTGTTCCTCATGATTTTTATTGTTTATTGTTTATTTTAAGTAAACACATATTCAAATTTTGGTTCCTTCAACACATTTCAAACAAAGTTGGGACAGTAACGCCCCATTCACACGGGGCGTCAGCGTCAACGCTTCCCATTCACTTTGAATGGGTGACGTCAGGCTTTGCTGAACTGCATTGTGGATCCATCAGCGCCGCTTCAGAGGTGTTGCTCGCTGCAGAAGTTGGGACTAGCTCAACTTTTCAAGCGCCGACGGAAGCGTCAGCCAATCAGATCGCTGTATGCAAATACACCAGCTAGACAGTAGCCTATTGCTGACTGAATTTCATTGGCTGATGCTTCTATGACAATCGCTTCAGCCCCGACTTCAGACACGCCTTCAGTCAAGCGTTGACGCTGAAGCCCCGTGTGAATGGGGCGTAAGGGGCCGATCACACCAAAGCGAGGCGCACCTCACTGCTTTTTTTGTTGACAAGAAAAAAAGTCGCTTTTATGTTGCTAGGCAACAACTGAATCAGATGGATATTGTGCGAGAGTGTTGCTGTTGATATTAATTTAATTTTAATACTTAATAATATCGTGATATTTAAGAGTTGTGAAGTCCTAATTCTCTGGATGACTCAAATCAGGGACCACAAGTCTCTCAATCATCTTCAAAAGTTTCCGCTGTTGTCTTGACAACACAAACACTGCAGTCACCCCAGTGAAAACCCCAGCCTCTGCTTTCATTTGATTGAAGAATGAAAAAGACGCGACTGATGTAACACTCTTTTCCGCTCAGAGTTTACTTTTTTCAGCTGCGAGAGCACGGGGCACAAGGGCAAAAATTCGAGGTGCAGCAGGCGGTTAAAACGCGAGGTGCGCAGGGCGCATAAATAGTGCACAAAATGCTTGCTGCCATTAGTTATGTCGGGACTGCAGACAGGTCAGTCATGCACCCATGCATCTGTTCACGCAGATCCGCCATTAGCGCGTGCCCGTCTGCATCACAAACGCATGCGCGCGAGCGAGCTGCGGGCCGCTCGCTGATGCCGAGTTGGAGCCGGAGGCGCCGAAGGACAGCCAAGCTCGGGCCGATTACTGTAAAGCCAGGCACGAGTATAATTCGCCCTTAAAGCGGCCGCGCGGTCACTAGACGGACCGGGAGAAATCAAATGCTGAATTGAAACTTTTAAAAACCTGAATCGGTATTGGAGTTACTTTAGCACGCTGGAGGAAGGACGACACCATGGCTGAAGTATTACTGTTAGACAGGTAATGTTGTTTTAAACCTTAGTCAGGCTGAGCTTATGTTGTGAATGTGTTCTGTTATGAATGACTTCTATGCACAGTCGTGTTGTTCAGCCACTGAAATCCCCCGGGGAAAGATTGATGTGATTATTTTCAGTTTCATTAGGTTCTTTGTCAGCATCTATAATGTAGATTTATATTTAGTTTAACAACAAAACACCAGTAAATAGCGCTATTCCGCCTAACCTGCTTTATTGAGCTGAAGTTGCTTTTATATTCACATTGGGTCATTTTTGAACAATGACAGCCTCCCTATACTGTTTCCCATGCTACTCTGAATATTCGCTCTGAAATAGCATGTAAGTGTGGCTTAGTAATAAATGTAATTCCTGCATGGCGCTGGCACTAACTGGCGAATGAAATGAAGTAGTGGGTTGTCTGCTGTTGTGATGCAGTGCGCACGCTCGCGATTTTTTAGGGGGTGTGGCTTTGAATCACAGTCCCTCCCCGCCGTCCAAAGATAATATGCTAAGCGGTTAGCATTTTGGCAAATCACCTACTGCACCTTTAAGATTGTCCTTTACATACTGAAATTCTTCCAGATTCCTTGAATTTGTTTAATGATGTTCTGCACTGTTGAAGGTGAAATAGCCAAATTTCTTCCTCTCTTTCTTTGCGGAACATTGTTTTTCAATAATTTTGTCATTTATTTGTTGTCAAGCTGGTGATCTCGGCCCATCTTTGCTCCTAAAATTTTTAACGAAGGTCTCTAAATGTTCTGGAAAGATTCTGTTTGTACTGTCAGTTTGACTTTTTTAGTTGAATCAAGTGAACTTCTCTAGTCATCTCAACTTACACCAATCAATCTGACTAAAACTATATATCTAATTATAATTTTTGTATGACTTAAGAAATTTGGTTGAAATCTGAATAACTTATTAGAATAAGTTATAAACATTTGTTGTTTGATATTTTGTTATTATATTTTTTACAGTGTGCTCATACTGCACAATAAATATCTTATTGATTTTTAACTAAAATATAGTATTATTCATGGAAATGCAGACGTGTAGGGTGTTCATAGAGGATGCACTGAATAAACTCTGCAGATTTCTTCCAGCTCGGTGCACATTTAGGGTAAAGCTGTTTTGAGTGTCAGGTCTACTATCTTTAGTGCTCATTTTTAGGTGGCAGTGCAGGGCTGTGTCCAATACAGAGCAATTTGTGGATCTTAAAAGGGCACCTATTATGCAAAAATCACATTTATAAGGGGTTTAAACGCAGTTGTGTGGAAATTATTATAGCCAGCTTCTTATGGTAAAAATGTATAAATTCTATTTTTTTAATCACCCTTTATAAAAACAGCCTGCTGAAGCACTTTGATTGACATTTGTATTTTGTACATGTCATCAAAGGGAGAAAGCCCCGCCCACTAGTGACCATCTCTCTCTCTCATTAGCATAAACAGACCTGAGAGAGAAGCAGCCGTCCAGAGTTTTAAATCTGTTGCTATGCTGACACACAGGCATTTGTAGCTCCGCCCTCTCTTGAAAACGTCACAATCTCATTTGAATTTAAAGCGACAGTCACCAAAATGGCATGATTAAAACATTACTCGAGTATTTTGAGCTGGAACACTCACGTCAGTCACTTGTTTTACATCTTGTAAAAAGGTGCGTAATAGATCCTTTTTAAACTGTTTTATTGTTCTGCAACTTACATTGGACAACAACAGCGGCAGTTTTTGTGATATATGAAATGATATTGAAGATGATATTGATATTCAGACACAGGCGGCCAGTGAATGTGCTTTGGAAACAAATGTCAGTGCATGGCAGGTGTGATGGGTAATGTGTTTCAGCTGTCTGCTTGTCATCAGATCACGGATTACTGATGGATTAGCCTTATGTGTTCAGGTATTTTTCTATGGCAAGTTTCTGTTTACATTGTAAATGTAGTTTTATTCAAAGGTTTGTTTTTAATTTAATTTTATAGTTAAGTTTTTAGAGTAAGTAAAAATAAATGATAATGGTTTTAGCCATTTTCCTTTCCATTTTTGTTATTTAATGTCAACAGGTCTTTAATTTCATTTCAGTGTACATTTTGTAGTAAATAAAAATGAATGATGATGTATTTTAGATTAGATTAGATTTAACTTTATTGTGTCATGTCTGCTGTAGTGCCATCTTGTGGTTTTCTGGACACTAGTTGTTTTTTGGTTTGTTCCTGCGTTGTAGTTCACTTGATCACTAATTGTTTCCAGCTGTCTGTTATTGTCTAATTATTTTTGTTGTCTTTTTAAGCTTTGTTATGTTGTGTTTAGTTTGCCTTTGGATTTTTGCCGTTTGCTTGTGCACTCCGTTCACTCGATTCTGGTTTGTTTTGACCAGCTTATCTGGTCCTAGTCTGCTCACTAACTTATTTATGTCACGATGGGCTCACAAAAATACAAAAAATATCCAAGTGCAGCAATAGAAGTGTTAATAAAAAATAAGGGGACAGGCCAGGTTCAAAAATCGAACAGATACAAAAAGTACAACACAATAAATAAAAATGAATCAACCAACGTTTGAACAGGAATTCAAAAATGAGATTATAACATGGAACAAAGTGAACAAACAAACAAACCAAAACAATGAGTTACTGAGCAGACTAGGACCAGTTTTTGTTGCTTTTCCCCCATATTTTTAATATTACTATATAATTAGTTAAAATGTTAGCAATTTTATGTAATTTTAAATAAATTTTATAATAAATAAAAATCAATTAATTTGTTTTTAGATAAGGTTTTAGAAATTTTGTTGTGTTTTCCCCATTTTGTTTTTTAATATTCAGAGGTTTTTAATTTTATTTAAGTAAAGGTAGTAAATAAAAATAAACAACAATGTATCTTAGATAACATTTTTGCAATTTTGTTGTTTTTCCCCATTTTTATTATTAAATGCCTAAAGGTTTAACACAGTGCATGCCCTTCCAGCTGCAACCCAACACAGTGAAACACCCATACACACTCATACACTACGTACAGCTTATTTATTTCTCCTATAGCGCATGTGTTTTAACCGTGGGGGCACCCCGAGGAAACCCATGCCAACACAGGGAGAACATGCACACTCGACACAAAAATGCCAACTGATCCAGCCAGCACTCAAACCAGCGACCTTCTTGCTGTGAGGCGATTGTGTTACCCACTGCGCCACTGCGACGCCTGGTTTTTTATTTAATTAGGATAATAAAAGTAACTGAATATTTATTTTAGATAAAGTTTTAACAGTTTTGTTGTGATTTTCCCCCATTTTTATTATTAAATGTCTACAGGTTTTGAATTTTATGTCAACTTAAATTTGACAGAGAATAAAAATAAATTAATATGCATTTAAGTCAAACTCAATTTCAATTTAAGTAATTCTCCCATTTCTTATATTAAATATATACAGGTTTTAATTGTATTTTCTTTTAAAGTTTTGAAGAAAATTTAAATGAATTACAATGTTTGTGTGACAACTTTTAAATAGTTTTTTTTAAATATATATTTTATTTCAAGTAACAAAATAAGTTGATATTTTAATATTATGTTATATATGTTAAGTTTTTGCTTGACATAACTCTTAGCCGTTTATGCATTAGGAATAACACTTGCTTTTGTGATGTTGCTTAAAAATAAAAAATGCACTTTTATCTCATGTTAAAGAAAATGTATTTATTTATTTATTTATTTATTTATTATTTTATCAGAAAACATGCGTTATTGTAAGATTCTTAATTACCAGTGTTTGTCTGTGCTCCAGAACCAGCTGACCCAGAGCACCAGTGCATTAGAGAGCGCAGAAGAGCTGCTGGAGTTTGCCAATAATGCGCTGCACATCTCAGACGAGGCCGAGTTCAGTAAGGTACACACACACACACACACACACACACACACACAAACATACACATATATAAACATACATACACACATACACGCATGCTGATGTGATTGTATAGATGCAAACGTTTTTTAAATTTTCCAACTTGCGTTGTGGAAATTACTGTGAGCCAAAGCTAAAACACACTCTACTAATCCTTCTTATTTAATTTTCTGAACATTTTTCTGAATTTTTTCATCAATCAATCAATAAAACGTGACAATATAAATGCTTTATATGTTTAGGATTCCCTTTGTGTGTGTGTGTGTCTGTGTGTGTGTGCGCATGATTGATGTTTGTTTCTGTGTTTATATGTTTATGTATGTGTGTATCGGTTTGCTTCTCTCTATGTTTATATGTTTGTGTGTCTGTGTGTGTTTGTGACGTGTGTGTGTGTGTGTACATATATGTTTAAATATATGTTTGTGTGATGTGTGTATGTTTTTTGTATATATGTGTGTGTTTGTATATATATGTGTGCGTGTGTTTGTATGTGTGTGTGTGTGTGTGTGTCTGAGTGTGCATGCATTTTTATGTATATGTTTGTATGTGTGTCTGTTTGCTTATTTCTGTTTGTGTGTGTGTGTGTGTTAATGTATATGTGTATGTTTGTGCCTGTGTGTGTTTATGTGTATATGCTTGTGTTTGTGTGTCTGTTTGCTTATCTGTGTGTGTGTGTGTGTGTGTGTGTGTGATGTTGGTTTCTGTGTTTATAAGTTTATGTATATATGTGTGTGTGTGTGTGTGTCTGTTTGCTTCTCTATGTGTGTATATGTTTGTGTGCCTATGTGTGTTTGTGATGTGTGTGTACATATATGTTTAAATATGTTTGTGTGTTGTGTGTATGTTTATCTATATGTGTGTGTGTCTGTGTGTTTGTATGTATTTGTATGTGTGTATATGTTTGTATGTGTTATTTGTTTGTTTATTTCTATGTGTGTATGTTTGTGCATCTTTGTGTGTGTGTGTGTGTGTGTGTGTGTGCGTGAGTGTGATTTTGATTGTATATATCCAGTCCAGCTCTGAGCTGATGGCATGCTCACACTCTTCTCCTGCATGGCGATACTAACCACCTGCTGTTTTTTCCTCTCCTTCTCTTTATCTCCATGCTCAAGGCTGCCAAACAGATCAAAGATAGGTACAGTATACGTTCCTCAGTATGTGAATGTGTGACAACTGCACGAGTCATTCATTCACCGTTTGTTTTGCACTGGTTATTCTAGCACAGGCTCATTGTGAAAACGTACCCCCGTATACATTTCTGGAGAGCGCGAATTATGTAGCCAGAGCTATGTATGGCTGCATTTTGTCTTTAAAATGAACACTAGAGGATGGTATGAGGCCGCAGACGCCTTCTGTTTCTTTTTTTGCGCTACCAGCTGACCACTTCCTTCCATCTGGATGGCTTTCCCGCTGTTACCAGTTTGCTCAGTAGCTCGCCATGTACGTTGGCGGACTTGAGACGCAGAGAGAAGTTGACTACAACGACGAGGTTTGAGTCTGGCGAAGAACGGTTCCAGAAAGCAGTTAAAACAAAAACAAAAGCTAAAAATAAAATAAACAAGTAAATAACAGGGTGAGAACGTGGTAAGATCTGAAAATGTAGTAAAAATCAGGGCTTTTCTAATGGATTCGTGAAAACAAAACCTAGATCCTGGGATTTATTTTGGGCTCTCCAGAAACGTATATAGGGGTACGCATTTCAATAATGAGCAAGTCTGTGTGTTTGTGTGTGTGTGTGTGTGTGTGTGTGTGTATGTGTGTGTCGTCCTTTCTATCTCTGTGCTATTATGTAGGTCATTCAGACATTGTAGTGGTTTGTGTTGACTGCATTAAGGTGTGCTGAAACTATATTTGCTTTTAATTTGTGTGCAAAGTTGATCCTCAGACTCAGTAGCAGTCATTTAGTGGTGTTTCCTGCAAGTGATGCATAAACCAACATCAATTCTTTCTGTATGTGTAAATGTGTATTCAACACATTTCTTTCTGTATATGTAATCAACTTCAATGCTTTTGTAATCAGAGACTGTCCTTTTTTATAATATTTATAGCATGAAAATCCGTGGCATACAGGTTATATACTTGTGCATGTTCTGCATGTGTTTTTGTGCTGACAATCAATCATGGGGGTTAGGTTGATACATACAAAAAAAACCTAATTAATTAATTGTGTATGGATTCACTAGCTCTGAGTGACATAATGATTATAATATAATATAATGTAATATAATATAATATAATATAATATAATATAATATAATATAATATAATATAATATAAAAAATTTAATAAAATATAATATAATATAATAAATATAATATAATATAATATAAAAAAAATAATAAAATATAATATAATATAATATAATATAAAAAAATAAAACAAAAAATAAATAAATTATAATATAATTTAATATAATATAATATAAAAAATAAAATATAACATAATATAATATAATATAATATACAAATTTTTAATAAAATATAATATAATATAATATAATAAAATTTAATAAAATATAATATAATATAATATAAAAAATATATAATATAATATAATATAAAAAATATAATATAATATAATATAATATAATATAATATAATATAATATAATATAATATAAAAAAATTTAATAAAATATAATATAATATAATAAAATTTAATAAAATATAATATAATATAATATAAAAAATAAAATAAAATATAATATAATATAAAATAATATAATATAATATAATATAATATAAAAAATTAATATAATATAATATAATATAATATAATATCATGACTATAATATATAAACTAAACTATTTAGCCTTTAATTTACAAGCTCATTTAGACAATCACTTTAAATTATAAACAAAATTAGTTTTCAGCATCAAAAGTTGTCCCAGAATTCAATTAAATTAAATTCAAAAGCATACGAAAAAAACAGGAATCATAAAATATGGAAAATTGTTAATTGATGTTTTTATTGTGTGTAGTTTCACTAACTATGAAACAAAAGCGAAACTATTTCTGCTTATGCTTTTAGGGTGACGATGGCTCCTGCTTTCCGCTTGACCATGAAGCCCAAAGCCACAGATAATATGACGCACATGATGGTGGATTTCAGCCAGGAGAGACAGACTCTGCAGGCCCTCAAGTTCCTCCCAGGTAAAATCATCTTCACTAATTTTCTTGTTTAGACGCTTGTTTACAGCATCAACCCTTCAGAAAATGAACCTAAAAACCTTCACCAAATAGATCAATTCTGAATATAGACAAATCTAAGAATTTCAAATGTTTAAACACTCTCTGACAAGGGAAAAATCCAAACTTTTAAATTGCTTAAGAAAAAACATGAGCTTAATCAAGTGACTTCCATAGATACCTTCATTTAAGACAGTAGTCTCAAACTTAATTCCTGGAGGGCCACAGCTCTGAATAGTTTAGCTCCAACTACCTCTAACTCACACCTGCTTAATAGGGTCTAGTAGTCTTGAACAACTTGATTAGGTGGATGAGCTGTGTTTGATTAGGGTTGGAGCAAAACTATGTACTGTGGCCCATCAGGAATCGAGTTTGAGACCGATGATTTAGGCCATTATATAATGTTTTAACAGTGTCTTTATTGATATTAGGAACTTTTCCTAAAAAAAACAAAGCAAACCATACAAAAAAGTGAAAAATAATTCAAAATAAAAATCACAAATATGTAAATAAATGCACCACATTAACTTACAAGTGAAAAAATACCAAAACAGAGGTTTATTAATAGCATGTGATACAAAATGCAAGTTATACAGACATATGAATAAACATCATTATGTCTATGGGACTCCCGGTGTTGGCGTGGGTTTCCTCCGGGTGCTCCGGTTTCCCTTACAGTCCAAACACATGCGCTATAGGGGAATTGGATGAACTACATTGGCCGTAGTGTATGATTGTGAATGAAAATGTTTCCCAGTACTGGGTTGCAGCTGAAAGGGCTCCACTGTGTAAAACATGTGCTGGATAAGTTGGCGGTTCATTAAACTGTGGTGACCCCTAATAAATAAGTGACTAAGCCGAAGGAAAATGAATGAATGAAGGAATTAAGGATGCTACATATGCTGGGGTACGCTTTAAAAAGAAAGTCCTTATATCTGCTGATCACTGAAAAAATAACTTCTCATCGAGCAATTTTTGCTAAACTCTCATCATATATCAGGTGAAAAAAGCATTTCAAAGTAATTTAATATATTCGTCTTTCTCTGTTTTAGCACATCACCTTCATGTACTTGGACTTGATGACCCCTAATATTCTTTTCAGCTTAGTCTTTTTATTAATCCGGGTTCGCCACAGTGGAATGAACCGCCAACTTATCCAGCACGTTTTTATGCAGCGGATGCCCTTTCAGCCGCAACCCATCTCTGGGAAATGACCCCTAATATAATACATTATATACAAATTATTCAGTCTTTTTTTACTTTTGTCTTTATATTTGTATTTCATGAATATTAATTAGCTCACACCGAGGTTAATCCTGTAAAACTGAGCCAGCTTAACTTTACGTAAAGTATGGATTTTGCTTCATTGCACTTTAATATTCATTAAATATCATTTTGAGGTAGAGGATAGAGGCAGATTATCACAGAGAAGTTGAAAGTTCAAGATATGATTATAAAAGAGTAGAGTAAAAAGAAAACTACTCTCATTTTGACACTTACATTTTTTTAATACTGCATAGATTGGAAATTTCTATAATAATGTTGCTCTAAAATAAAACGTTAATCATCCAACAATTCCTCTCGCATGATTTACGTGCTAAATTAAATTAAATTTTTATACAGCATTAAAGTCTACTTTATTGTTTGGAAAAATAAAATATCAAAATATGTGTAAAAGGATTTTTGACTCTGTAGATTTGTAATCTGTAATGACCAACCCAGGCTCATTCTGAAAGCGTAGTCTCGCGGATGTTTCTGGAGACAGCGGAATACGTCCCGGGAGGTACGTACAGCTGCATTAATTTTTTTCAAGCGAACGCTGCGGGGCGGTGTGACGCTGTTCCCTTTCGCTCTTGCCTGCCGGCCGGCCGGCCGGCCGTCCAACCACTTACCTCCTTGTGGAGGGCTTTCCCGCTGCAACCCGTTTGTCCACTCAGCTCAGCGTGTACGTCGGCAGGCTCGAGATGCAGAGTGGAGTTGACCACGGCGACCGGTTTCGACCGGTTATGTGTGTGAATGAGAGTGTGTATGGGTGTGTCTGGTATATATGGGTGTTTCCCAGTACTGGGTTGCAGCTGGAAAGGCATCCGCTGTGTAAAACATACGCTGTAATAGTTGGCGGTTCATTCTGCTGTGGCGACCTCTGAAATAGAGACTTAGCCAAAGCAAAATGCATGAATGCAAACATTTTGAGGTGTGCATAAATGAACAAAGCATTGTCTGCCATGCTCATTCTGGCATCATTTCTTTTCAAAATAAGCACAGTACCGGGCTTTTATCACAAATAAAAGTGTGCTTCACCTACTTCTTGTGCCTCGGGCTCCTGGTGTTTGGCTTTGAAAGGTGGCGTCCTGACCCTGACAGTGTTTTATGTACCCGGAGGTGTTTGAGCAGAGTGAATTTAGAAACACAAAAGTCAAACGTGTCCCCAGTCAACCTGAGCACATGCAGAGAGGATCAGACGCTGCCGTAGTGAAAGTGAACACAGCTTTATTTATGACTGCATGTTATCTTTGGACATACAGGAGACTTAAACAGGTTATTTAGGACAGCAGACCATCACATGCACACGCACAAGCAATGTATTTATACTCTCTGTGTCTGTGCTGTAAGAGACAAACACTGCTCATGACTTCAGATTAAAATGATTCATGTCATGTCAAACATATATCTCACATAAACATACACAATGTGCCACTAATATATAATATACATATAATAAATGTGTGTACTTACAGGCAAACAGTAACATAGATCATTTAATCATTAGACAACCAAACAACTTTATGTAATGTATAAAGTATAGAAATCTTAACTAGTAAAACAGACAAGATGAGGCAATTAGAATTCAGTTCATTTTTACAAATATCAATGACATTTGTATTAAATTATTTGTAGTTTTTTTATTAAATCTGTATCCACTGAATTCAATAGAGTGAAGAATTGAATTTAAATCAAATCAAATTGAATCTAAAATTGAGCCAAGTTTAAATTAAAGCTTGGGAAGCGAATTGAATCAAATCTAAAATTGAATCAAATTTAAATGAGAGCTTGCAATGCGAATCAAATTGAATCTAAAATTGAATCAAATTTAAATGAGAGCTTGCGAATCGAATCAAATTGAATCTAAAATTGAATCAAATTTAAATGAGAGCTTGCCAATCGAATCAAATTTAAATGAGAGCTTGCCAATCAAATCAAATTGAATCAAATTTAAATGAGAGCTTGCCAATCGAATCAAATTTAAATGAGAGCTTGCCAATTGAATCAAATTAAATCAAATTTAAATGAGAGCTTGCCAATCGAATCAAATTTAAATGAGAGCTTGCCAATCAAATCAAATTGAATCAAATTTAAATGAAAGCTTGCCAATCGAATCAAATTGAATCTAAAATTTAATCAAATTTAAACGAGAGCTTGCCAATCGAATCAAATTGAATCTAAAATTGAATCAAATTTAAATGAGAGCTTGCCAATCGAATCAAATTGAATCTAAAATTGAATCAAATTTAAATGAGAGCTTGCCAATCGAATCAAATTGAATCTAAAATTTAATCAAATTTAAACGAGAGCTTGCGAATTGAATCAAATCCAATATTTCATAATGAGCTTGCAAATGGAATCAAATCGAATCCAAACTTAATTCAAATTTAAATGAGAGCTTGCGAATTTAATCAGATCAAATCAGGACTCAAAACCCTGCCCTAAATCTTGAAATGAGAGCTTTGCGAATCAGAATCCAGTCAGATTGGGACAAATAAATAGATTCGTCAAAGCTTTAAACCTACAATAAGCAGACCTCCAGAGAACAAACAAAATGCACATGATATGATTCCCTCAAAGTGTAGATTGTGAATCAAACCCCTGCGTTCTCTTCTCTTGTTCACCCAGTGCCGCGAGCTCCAGAGATCATGCTCATAGACTGTGTGGTGATGGACAACGAGGTGACGGTCAGCTGGAAAATGCCAATGGAGGACAACAAGATTGACCATTACATCTTAGAGTACAGAAAAACCAACCACGAGGGTCTGCCGCGCGTAAAAGACGAGCAGTGCTGGGAGAAACTGGACAACATCAGGACCACCGAACACACACTACAAGGTATACAAAATACACTAAAATATGGGCACCTCATAGTAAGAAGTCACGTTACGGATTGAAACGGAAACAAAAGGTGCGGATCCAAGTGCAGATTTATTTACAATAGTGCAGCAAACAGAAAAACAAGGTGTCCACAGTGCAAAGTAACAAATAAACAATCACAAACTCGATATTCAAGACTTACTGGGATCACGGAGACAAGAAAGACAAACGACGCAGTGACAAACAGAGGTGGAATGGTTGTATAAATAGTCCAGGAAATCAACAGGAAACAGGAACAACTGTGATGGCCAATCAGTGTAAGTGAACCGGGTGTAATGCGCGTGGTATGTATGGACTTGTAGTTCTTGGGCGCTGTAGTTCACTCTCAGAGTCCGTTGAACTACAGCGCCCTCAGGTGGTCACTGACAATCATGACAAAGAAGGGTGTTGGTTTGACTCCTGGCTAGTCCAGTTGGTAGTTCTGTGTGGAGTTTGCATGTTCTCCCCGTGCCGGTTCATTCCACTGTGGTTACCTTTGATGAATAAGGGACTAAGTCGAAATTAAATGAATGAATGGATAATATGGGTGTACTTATTTTTGGACTGTGATCTTATGTTTCTTTGTTAGATTAGCCTCAGTTTTGACTAATCTAATGTGGATGCACAAATATATTGCTGTAAAGCATCCTGTAGACGATACAAATGTTAAAGAGAGATCTGTGGGGGGTGAACTCATTAATGCTGAGCACTGTATGGATATTTGTTGGAAACTACGAGAACTCAAACTAAATGTTTCATTCACTCAACAGGGTTAAGATTCGACTCCAAATTCATGAACTTCCGGGTACGAGCCTGTAACAAAGCAGCCGCTGGAGATTATTCAGACCCGGTCACATTAGAAACCAGAGGTAGGAATGTGCACTGAAAGAAGTCTTTAAAAGTGTGGGTTCAGATATATATATATATATATATATATATATATATATATATATATATATATATATATATATATATATACTATTAGACATTAATAATGTTATTCAGCAAGGATGCGTTAGGTTGATTAAAAGTAACACTTGTACTTTTTCTATTTCAAGTTAATGCTGTTATTTTGAACTTTCTATTCATCCTCAAATCCATATCCTTCTATTCAAATCCAAAAACAATGAACTTTTCAACATTGATGATAATAAGAAGGGATTTTTCATCATCAGATCAGTATATTTGTATGTCTTCTTCAGAATCAATTGACACTGAAGACTGGAGTAATGAGACTGAAAATTCAGCTTCGCATTTCAGAAATAAATTGATTTAAAAATGATGAATAACTACAAAATTAAGTCATTTCGAATAGAAATCAGGGCCCGTATGTCAGCATGATTAATAATTATGAACACAGAGATTGGCTGATGAGGAGGGGTGAGTCTCTGTAAGAGATTTACTCATGGAAACTCTCCAGAGTGCGATATTATCTTTCCAAATTCAAGTACAAATTTTCTAATAAATTACAACTTCAAATCAAACCTCCAAATAAGGATGCAAATTTATATCAATGAAATGTAAATTTACATAAAATATAATATATGCTTTATATTCTCAGTGCTTTATATATTAAAATATGCTTTATTTTTAAATATTTTTTGTTCTGTTGTTCCTCCTGGTTTTACTTCTATGTGTTTATTATTGTCTTTTTATCTCTCTCTGTCTTACGTACAGCCCTTTGTTTTTAAATGTGCTTTATAAATGAATGAACTTGAAATTTCTTTATGAAAAAAGACGATTGTTTTTAGAAGGAGATGAGAAAAATATAATTTTTTTGGCTGTATTTTAAAATAAATGATAAATATAATTGACCGTATGGGAATACTTTATTAAGGCGATATCTTAGTAAAAGCTCACTGTGATCACATATTTATCAAATATTTTCTTTCCAAGGCAGATTTTTGGAAAAAGCAGACATTTTATAGTGTGTTGTATGGCCTATTTTACTACCCCTAACATTTTTTTCTGCTAGTTTTAGCACTTAAACTCTTTTAGACAAAATTATAGGACTGAAACTCATTATTTTAAAGGGCCATGAAACCCCCTCGTTTCAGCAGGGTGTTTTCACACCTCTACTTTGGAAAAAGTCAGAAAAGTGGGCGTGTCCAGCTCTGTTTAGGGGGGAGTGTCAGAGGAAGAAAAGTGGGATGGTGTGGGAGTGTCTATTTGGGCACGCGCGAGTTTCAGAGTCAAAATACACACACGGGAGAAAGTGATGGTGTTTAACCTACATGGACATCTGTAGTCAAATTATTTGCCAAATTATTAAATGTTGGACTTTAACTGCAGTTTGGCTCTTTGATTCAGGGAATTCATTCATGCCCCTCGCGACAAACGAGATATTTGATACGAGGAGCTGCTCTAAGTGTGTATTTTTCATGCAATGTTTGATACCGCACGGCGAATGAGAGAAAAAAACCCTCAGCATTTCCCAGAAACTTAGATGCACACGGCAGGTAGCGTCAGAAAGCCGCGTGTGTTATTCCGGTCACAAAATGTGGTGAAAATCCTACACGAGGTTAAAGTTTGGTTGTGGTGCTAACATGTTTACACTCGGTGCAATAGTTAACTTAGTTCGATACGAACAAACTGAATAAACAAAGAGCACTGGTCGCTCTGTAGAGACATCTGTAGAGACAGAACAATCACCAGCAACTAGAGCTGCGTCTTTATTAAGAGGAGACTACAAGCGAATCCGGATCTCAGCGTTTGCAGATAAGAACAGCTCTCAGGTAAACAATGTGCCTCCTTAGACACGTAAGTTATTGTTGTCGATCGTCGCGTACACTGTTAATCCACACGTGACTCCAGCTGCGCTCTCACAGAGAGAAAATGAAAACAAAACTTAACTGCAGGAAACTATAAAAGCAACACTTTGCTTGTTTTGCCAACACAACGTGGCGTCTCTGTCGTCTAAACACTGTGACAGTAATGAATATTAATGAAGTTGCACAATAGAGCGGTTTGAACCAAGCCTTACTCATGCATTAATGCAGCACACTGTAAGACGTAATAAGACACACTCTGGCACAGACGTCCAGTCTGCACGCTGGAATACACGCTATTATGTCATGACCGTGACGCAGCTTCAAAAATTAGTTTCAAACCGGAAGTACGAATTTGCTTGAAATAAGGCAAAAACAACCAATTTACACTTTTTAGTGAAATATAGGTGTCCTAATAGTGTTTATAGCAGTGTGGGACACAAATACGACTGTCAACAGCTCAACACATGTGTTTTGGTGTTTCGTGACCCTTTAAAGATTTTTCTTCTAAATTCGCTAGTTAGGCACTACTTTTATCTATAAGATGTTTTGTGAATATGACCCCAGCCTTTTTAAATTGTAATAATATTTTACAGACCACAAACGTTAAGCAGTAGATTCGTACTCGCAGTAGAGTACATTAGTGGTACTAAAAATCTGATTGTATTGCTGATGGTTGTTGTTTCTCTGTATCAGCGTTTAACTTCAGCTTTGACTCCTCGTCGTCTCATCTGAACCTGAAGGTGGAGGAGCAAAGCGTTGAATGGGATCCGCAGGCGGGAAAAGCATTGGACAGCAAAGGCAAGGGGAAGGAGAACAAGGGCAGGTGAGAAGACGAAAATAAAGCCTCATTCTTTCAGTGACTCAGTCTTGGATGAGATTAAACACACTTTTTTTATAGTGTTTTGGTGCAAGTAAAATTATTGCTCACACTTCATCAGTTAATGTATTTATTAACATGAACTAATTATGAACAACACTTTTAGAGCATTTATTAACCATAGTTTAACATTTACTAATGCATTATTAATATCCAGTGTTGATTAGATGAATGTCAGAATGTCGCTGGGTCGCTGGTTCAAAACCTCGGCTCAGTTGGCGTTTCTGTGTGGAGTTTGCATGTTCTCCCTGCATTCGCGTGGGCTTCCTCCGGGTGCTCCGGTTTCCCCCACAGTCCAAAGACATGCAGTACAGGTGAATTGGGTAGGCTAAATTGTCCGTAGTGTGTGTGTGTGTGTATGAGTGTGTGTGTGGATGTTTCCCGGAGATGGGTTGCGGCTGGAAGGGCATCCGCTGTGTAAAAACTTGCTGGATAAGTTGGCGGTTCATTCCGCTGTGGCGACCCCGGATTAATAAAGGGACTAAGCCGACATGAAAATGAATGAATGATATATAAATAAATAAATAAAATCTAAATATTGCATGAAATTAAATAAAAATTACAAATGTAATGAATGTTTCATTTGAATCATTAAAATCACTAAAAAAGTGAGTTAAAAAAGTTAAAGCTGCATGAAAATATACAAATCAGTTGGCAAATTAATTCCTTAAACTAAAATGAAAGTAGGGTGACACGGTGGCTCAGTGGTTAGCACTGTTGCTTCACAGCAAAAAGGTCGCTGGTTCGAGTCTCGGCTGGGCCAGTTGGCATTTCTTTTGCATGTTCTCCCCGTGTCGGCGTGGGTTTCCTCCGGGTGCTCCGTTTTCCCCCACAGTCCAAACACATGCGCTATAGGGGAATTGAAGAAACTAAATTGGCCGTAATGTATGAGTGTGTGAATAAGTGTGTATGGGTGTTTCCCAATACTGGCTTGCCGCTGGAAGGGCATCCGCTGCGTAAAACATATGCTGATAAATAAGGGACTAATCCCAAAGAAAATGAATGATATAGCCTATTAAAATGCACCATTTGATAATTATTGATCATTATAACAGAGAAATAATTCACAGCTTATCCGCTTTGGATTTTATTTATCAGTTAATTCCCTAATGCTCTTGTGTTTCCTCTTCCACCAACCACAGTGCACATATCACCAATCTGAAGAATATGTCCAGGTGACCGGCGTGTGTCTGTTAGCTCTTTAGCTACTTTAAACCAACGCTAGCGCTAGATTTACCTTTAGCTCTTTGTATGCAGTGTGTTCACCGCGGCAGCTCTGAGCAAAACATTTCATAAAAGAGGATCACAAGATTGGCTGACTTTTGTAATAATTGTGTATATATGTACAGTTGAAGTCGAAAGTCTTTGGCGAATATTTCCCAAATGATGTTTAACAGAGCAAGGAAATTTTCGCAGTATTTCCTATAATGTTTTTTCTTCTGGAGAAAGTCTTATTTGTTTTATTTTGGCTAGAATTAAAGCCGAATTGTTTTAAAACCATTTTAAGGTCAATATTATTAATCCCCTTTAGCAATATTATTTTTCAACGCAGGCTCATTCTAAAAACGTAGCCCTGTATACATTTCTGGAGATCACAAATTATGTAACCAGAGCTACTATGGCTGCATTTCTTGTTTAAAACGAACGATACAGGGCGGTATGATTTTGCGCTTGCCAGCTTTATGGCTTGGACGGATTTCTGCTGTTATCAGTTTGTCCAGTGGCTCGCCATGTACGTCAGCGAAGTTGAGACGTATAGAGACGTTGACCACAATGATGGTGTTCAAGTCTGGTGAAGAACGGTTCACCATTCTTGTGGTAAAATCTGAAAATGTGGTAAAAATCAGGCGAGGAGTTTTCTTTTTCTGGATAGCTTTTTTCGAATGGTCAGTCAGTCTGTCAACAGCGGCGTCTGGTGGATTTACACGAGAACAGCAGGCATGAATGGCATTCGCAGAAGCATTTTGAGAGCTGAAAAACATACACAGCGGCCTCTGGTGAATCTGCGAAAACAAAAACTGCAAAAAACATAGCTCCTGGGATATATTTAGTGCACTCCAGAAGTGTATATAGGGGTACGTATCAATAATGAGCTAGGTTTTTTTTATTGCCTATAGAATAAGTCTTTTTTGTTTTTGTCTTGTTTCTTGTCTCATCTCATCTAATCTCTACTTCTTTTGTCTTGTTTCATCTCTTTAGTTTCTTCTAGTCTTCTGTTCTTTTTTTATCTCATGTCCTATGTTCTTGTCTGATCTCATCTGGTCTCGTCATCCCTACTTCTGTCTTCTCATCTCTTCTTCAGTCTTCTCTTTCCATCTCTTCTTGAATCTTCTCATCTCTTCTGGTCTCTTCTCATCTTTTCTCATTTCCTCTTGTCTCTTCTTACCTTATCTCATCTCATGTCATCTTATCTCATGTCTTCTCTTTCAATCTCTTCTCCTTTCATCTTTTCTCGTCCTGGCTCATCTCATTTCTTCTAATTCCATCTTGTCTTTTCTCATTTCTTTTCTTCTTGTCGTTTCTTTTTTCTTCATCTCTTTTTTATTTACCTGGTCTTGTTTCTTCTCTTCTCATCTAGTCTTTTCTCTCCAGAAATGTATCTTGTGGTATTTATCAATAATGAGCCTGGGTTGTTTTTTTATTGTCTGCAGAATAAACCATATTTATGACTTGCCTAATTACCCTAACTTTACCCAAATTACCCTAGTTAAGCCTTTAAATGTCACTTTAAGCTGAATACTAGTATCCTGAAGAATATTTAAATATTATTTACTGTCATCATGACAAAGAGAAAAGTAATCAGTTATTAGAAATCAGTTAGTAAAACTAATATGATTAGAAATGAGTTGAGAAGGAAGAGGCAGTGGCGCAGTAGGTAGTGCTGTCGCCTCGCAGCAAGAAGGTTGCTGGTTCGAACCTCGGCTCAGTTGGCGTTTCTGTGTGGAGTTTGCATGTTCTTTCTGCCTTCGCGTGGGTTTCCTCCGGGTGCTCCGGTTTCCCCCACAGTCCAAAGACATGCGGTACAGGTGAATTGGGTAGGCTAAATTGTCCGTAGTGTATAAGTGTGTGTGTGTGTGGATGTTTCACAGAGATGGGTTGCGGCTGGAAGGCCATCCGCTGTGTAAAAACTTGCTGGATAAGTTGCCGGTTCATTCCACTGTGGCGATCCCGGATTAATAAAGGGTCTAAGCTGACAAGAAAATAAATGAATGAATGATTGTGTTGAGAAAATCTGCTCTCTGTTAAACTTGTGGAAAAAATATATTAATAATTCTGACTTTAACTGTATGTGTTGTACAGTGATCTTGAGTTTCTTTACTCTTTAAATAAAATGTATTTTATTATTTTATTGATGAGTATTTTCATAAATTAATGACAGGATTATTAAAGTAGTAATTATTGCTCAGTTTAAGGATGCATCTTGTTTTAATGGTGATATCTTGTGATCCTTTTTAATGAAATCTCTGTTTCTCTGAGGGGTTTTCTGTGTTTCTAAACTGAGTGCTTTTTCTAAATGACGGTATTGATTCGGGATTATGCATGTGATGCTTGTGGGTGTTACTGAAGCTACAATCAGCAGAATGTAACATTAGAATTACTGTATACATTATATTTCCATTAGTTCTGATGATGACCAAAGTATTTTTTCCCCAACAGAACTGTTACTAAAGTCTAAATGTTAGTGCTGCAGCTTTTAATTGAGTATAATTCTGAATGCAAAGTTGCTTTTCCATGCTCACGTCCTTATGACCGCGGTGAGTAACCCTCCGTCTGAAATCACCGCTGTATGCTTTTCTCATCAGTCATTCCATTATGGCGAAAGTGCACAAAACTTCATCAATTTTGCATGTGATTACACCTGTCATGCGTGGTAGCTCCACCATCTGCTGTGCTAAGACAGTGCTCAGTCTTTTAGGACGTCCTTTAAAATGGATGGCTTCCTTTTGTTTGGATCGTCTTTCAGCCGGCAGCTGTTCAGTGTGCAGGATCTTGCATATGGATAAAGGATGAAATATACACAAGTCTTGCACAAAGAGCTGCTCTAATGGATTTCTTTAGAATCTTGCATTTATTTAATATTTCTCACTTATTGCCATTAAATATAGTAAAAAAACACATTAATTTGTGCACTTGAATGTTGAAATTTAAGTCAAGTACACTAGAAAATACATAATAACAGTCGTTTTCCTTTAATGTTCATGCTTAATTGATTTTTAATACCTGTTTCACACTCATTGCTGCTCAGTTTATCGAGATAGATAACACTTGTTTTGTGTTTTTCGTTGTAGTAGATGTTAAGTTGATTACATCGCTTGTGCTGCTGTGGCTAACATGTGTGCACTGCTTTTACATTGCTTTTCTAGACTTTCCATGTAGAGTTATCAGTTTATTTCTCACCGCCATCAGCTATAGGCATCACAAGCTGAGACATGCTGTGTTTGATCACTAACTGAACACATCTGCTTTGCTTCTTGTCTTTTCTTCTTTTCTCGTCTCGTCTCATATCATCTCTTCACTTCTATTCTAGTCTAATCTCGTCTCAACTCATTTAATCTCTTCTCATTTCATCTCTTGCTCTGTCTTCTCATGCTCTGTCTTATTTCTTCTAATCTCTTCTCATCTCTTCTCATCTCTTCTCATCTCGTCTCTTGCTCTTGTCTCATCTCTTGTCATCTTATTTCTTCTCATCTCTTCTCTTGATCTGTCTTCTAATCTTTTCTCTTGCTCTGTCTTATGTCTTCTCATCTCTTGCTCTGTCTTATTTCTTCTCATCTCATCTCTTGCTCCGTCTTCTCATCTCGTCTCTTGCTCAGTCTTCTCATCTCATCTCTTGCTCCGTCTTCTCATCTCATCTCTTGCTCCGTCTTCTCATCTCGTCTCTTGCTCTGTCTTCTCATCTCATCTCATCTCTTGCTCTGTCTTCTCATCTCTTCTCATCTCGTCTCTTGCTCTCTTCTCATCTCTTCTCATCTCATCTCTTGCTCTGTCTTCTCATCTCTTCTCATCTCTTCTCATCTCATCTCTTGCTCTGTCTTCTCATCTCTTCTCATCTCGTCTCTTGCTCTGTCTTCTCATCTCGTCTCTTGCTCAGTCTTCTCATCTCTTCTCATCTCGTCTCTTGCTCTCTTCTCATCTCTTCTCATCTCATCTCTTGCTCCGTCTTCTCATCTCGTCTCTTGCTCTGTCTTCTCATCTCATCTCATCTCTTGCTCTGTCTTCTCATCTCTTCTCATCTCGTCTCTTGCTCTCTTCTCATCTCTTCTCATCTCATCTCTTGCTCTGTCTTCTCATCTCTTCTCATCTCTTCTCATCTCATCTCTTGCTCTGTCTTCTCATCTCTTCTCATCTCGTCTCTTGCTCTGTCTTCTCATCTCGTCTCTTGCTCAGTCTTCTCATCTCTTCTCATCTCGTCTCTTGCTCTCTTCTCATCTCTTCTCATCTCATCTCTTGCTCTGTCTTCTCATCTCTTCTCATCTCGTCTCTTGCTCAGTCTTCTCATCTCTTCTCATCTCGTCTCTTGCTCTCTTCTCATCTCTTCTCATCTCGTCTCTTGCTCTGTCTTCTCATCTCTTCTTATCTCATCTCTTCTCATCTCTTCTCTTGCTCAGTCATCTCATCTCTTCTCATCTTGTCTCTTCTCATCTCGTCTCTTGCTCTCTTCTCATCTCTTCTCATCTCGTCTCTTGCTCAGTCTTCTCATCTCTTCTCATCTCGTCTCTTGCTCTGTCTTCTCATCTCTTCTCATCTCGTCTCTTGCTCTGTCTTCTCATCTCTTCTCTTGCTCAGTCTTCTCATCTCTTCTCTTGCTCTGTCTTCTCATCTCTTCTCTTGCTCAGTTATCTCATCTCTTCTCATCTTGTCTCTTCTCATCTCTTCTCATCTCGTCTCTTGCTCTGTCTTCTCATCTCTTCTTATCTCATCTCTTCTCATCTCTTCTCTTGCTCAGTCATCTCATCTCTTCTCATCTTGTCTCTTCTCATCTCGTCTCTTGCTCTCTTCTCATCTCTTCTCATCTCGTCTCTTGCTCTGTCTTCTCATCTCTTCTCATCTCGTCTCTTGCTCTGTCTTCTCATCTCTTCTCTTGCTCAGTTATCTCATCTCTTCTCATCTTGTCTCTTCTCATCTCTTCTCATCTCGTCTCTTGCTCTGTCTTCTCATCTCTTCTTATCTCATCTCTTCTCATCTCATCTCTTGCTCAGTCTTCTCATCTTGTCTCGTCTCTTCCCATCTCTTCTCTTGCTCAGTCATCTCATCTCTTCTCATCTTGTCTCTTCTCATCTCTTGCTCAGTCTTCTCATCTCTTCTCATCTTGTCTCTTCTCTTCTCATCTCTTCTCTTGCTATGTCTTCTCATCCCTTCTCTTGCTCAGTCTTCTCATCTCTTCTCATCTCTTTTCTTGCTCAGTCTTCTCATCTCTTCTCATCTTGTCTCTTCTCATCTCATCTCTTGCTCAGTCTTCTCATCTTGTCTCGTCTCTTCTCATCTCTTCTCTTGCTCAGTCTTCTCATCTCTTCTCATCTTGTCTCTTCTCTTCTCATCTCTTCTCTTGCTATGTCTTCTCATCCCTTCTCTTGCTCAGTCTTCTCATCTCTTCTCATCTCTTTTCTTGCTCAGTCTTCTCATCTCTTCTCATCTTGTCTCTTCTCATCTCATCTCTTGCTCAGTCTTCTCATCTTGTCTCGTCTCTTCTCATCTCTTCTCTTGCTCAGTCATCTCTTCTCATCTCTTCTCTTGCTCAGTCTTCTCATCTCTTCTCATCTTGTCTCTTCTCATCTCATCTCTTGCTCAGTCTTCTCATCTTGTCTCGTCTCTTCTCATCTCTTCTCTTGCTCAGTCATCTCATCTCTTCTCATCTCGTCTCTTCTCATCTCTTCTCTTGCTCAGTCTTCTCATCTCTTCTTCTCCTGTCTTATTTCTTCTCATCTCTTCTCATCTTATCTCATCCCGTCTTTTGTTCTGTCTTCCCATCTCTTTTCTGTCTTCTCATTTCTTCTCATCTCATCTGATCTCTTGCTCTGTCTCATGTTTTCTCATCTCTTCTCTTGCTCTATCTTGTCTTCCCATCTCTTGCTCTGTCTTATTTCGTCTCTTCTCTTCTCTTCTTGTGTGTTGTGGGATTTGGAGTTTGTGTTTGCGTCTACTACTGTGTGTTTTGAGGATTTTTCTTGCATCTATAAATGTTTGTCTAAAAACAGTTTGCTTTGTATGCACGTGTTGAGACTGTGTGTATCTGTATGATGCTTTCAGAAGTGGAACTCCATCCCCGAAACGGACATCAGTGACCCGTTCACCAGCCCCCAGAGGAGCCAGAGATCGCTTCACCGGAGAGTCCTACACAGTACTGGGTACTAAAATAACCACCGTTATACAATGACTTGCCTAAATACCTTAACTTGCATGTAGGCTCTATTGAAAACAGCAATTGACTATGTCATTTTTGTAAATGAAATCCGCTGTATTGAACTAAATATTAACATTATCTTCTGATATTAAGTTTATGATTGATCATTTTTACAATATTAACACTCTTACTTTCCTGTCTATTACCGTGAAGCTTCTATATTTTATAGGGTGACAGAAATGCGACTTTATGGACTCTTTATTGTCTATGTAGGTGACACCAGTATAGAGTCCGGCCAGCATTACTGGGAAGTGAAGCCTCAGAAAGACTGTAAGTCCTACAGCGTTGGTTTGGCCTACAGAAACCTGGGCAAGTTTGACCAGCTGGGCAAAACCTGCACCTCCTGGTGTATCCACGTCAACAACTGGCTGCAAAACTCATTCGCTGCAAAACACAACAACAAGGCCAAGAATCTGGACGTGCCGGTGCCGGACAGCATAGGAGTCTACTGCGACTTTGATCGGGGTAATGTATACCATTGTGTCTGTTTATATTGGGGCTCAACAATATATAGTTTGAGCATCGATATCACAATGTGTGTGTCCGCAGTAGTTTCATCACAGGACTAGATTAAATATTATTATTTTTTTAATTATTTATACAAGGATGGGGCGATGCAATGGCGCAGTAGGTAGTGCTGTCGCCTCACTGCAAGAAGGTCGCTGGTTCGAGCCTCGGCTGGATCAGTTACCATTTCTGTGTGGAGTTTGCATGTTCTCCCTGCGTTTGCGTGGGTTTCCCCCACAGTTCAAAGACATGTGGTAGAGGTGAATTGGGTTGGCTAAATCAGGGGTTTCCAAACTTTTTAGGTGACGACACCCAAATTGACAATGCCAGTGACTCGCGACCCCCCAATATTCTCTGAGGTGGTTATAATTACAGAAACCTTGCATGCAATGGCACACACACACACCAATAGACCCAGGTTTATTCTTCCTTAATTTTTTTAATTCATGTCAGTGCTGTAAATGTGCCAGAAAGTTTAACCTGGTGTTATAAAATCAATCTGCTGCATCTCAAGCTATTGCTGTGTCTTTAATATAATGTCATTCCTCCAGGGGTCGCAATTCAATAGAACTAGTAACTATCAGCAACTATAGTAACTATATAGTATAAAGTAACTAAGAACGACTATTTTTTCTCTTCAGTAGGTTATGGATGAAATATGTCAATTTTTATGGTTTAATAAAAATAAACAGATTTCACCAGGCGACCCCCCCTTCATTGTCCAACGAACCCCTCGAGGGGTCCCGACCGGCACTTTGAGAACCACAGGGCTAAATTAACGGTAGTGTATGGGTGTAAATGAGTGTGTATGGATGTTTCCCAGAGATGGGTTGCAGCTGGAAGGGCATCCGCTGCATAAAACATGTGCTGGATAAGTTGGCGGTTCATTCTCCTGTGGCGACCCCTGATAAATAAAGGGACTAAGCCAAAAAGAAAATGAATGAATGAATTAAAGGATAACCGTGTTATTTTATGTCTGATCATTTAATTTCTGTACTTGAATACTGTTAGACTCTCCAGAAAACCATACAGGACTGTTAACCTTTATTTCTGCTCTGTCGTATTTATATATGCTCCTTATTTATTTTATTTTATGATGCACTGCATAGAAAAAAAGACTCGATCACCCCAGTCGACCTAAATTAAGGAAATCTTTCCAAATAGAGCTGTTCAAATCATCTGGGGAAATCATATTTACTTATAAAATAGCTTTTGCATCCAGTGTTGTGTTCATATTTATGATTATGTTTATTTATGTAGCACAGCGGTCCTGCTGGACAACATGACTTGTTAGTTGATTGCTATTATTTATGATTTACCATAGTATTTTCTTCACTGCTGGTCACCTGAACACAAAATGAACAGTAATTCACATCCTTAATGTGATTAATACAGCATAAAAAAATAAAATAAAAAATATGTGTATATATATATATATATATATATGTGTGTGTGTGTGTATGTATATATATGTATATGTGTGTGTGTGTGTGTATATATGTATATATATTATTAGCCCCCTTTTGATTTTATTTGATTTTTTTAAATATTTCCTAAATGATGTTTAACAGAGCAAGGAAATTTTCACAGTATGTCTGATAATATTTTTTCTTCTGGAGAAAGTCTTATTTGTTTTATTTAAGCTTGAATAAAAGCATTTTTCTATTTTTTAATAACCATTTTTGGGACAAAATTATTAGCCCCTTTAAGCTATATTTTTTTTCGATAGTCTACAGAACAAACCATCGTTGTACAATAACTTGCCTAATTACCCTAACCTGTCTAGTTCACCTTATTAACCTAGTGAAGCCTTTAAATGTCACTTTAAGCTGTATAGAAGTGTCTTGAAAAATATCAAGTAAAATATTATGTACTGTCATCATGGCAAAGATAAAATAAATCCGTTATTAGAAATAAGTTTTTAAAACTATTATGCTTAAAAAATGTGCTAAAACAATCTTCCCTCCATTAAACAGAAATTGGTGAAAAAAATAAACAGGGGCGCTAATAATTCAGGGGTGCTAATAATTCTGACTTCAACTGTATATGTATATATATATATGCTGGTCCTGGAGGGCCAGTGTCCTGCAGATTTTAGCTCCAACTTCCCTCAACACACCTGCAAGGATGTTTCTAGAAAGCCTAGTAAGAACTTGATTAGCTAGCCCAGGTTTGTCTGATTGGGGTTGGAACAAAACTTTGCAGGACACCGGCCCTCCAGGACCAAGTTTAGACATGCCTTTTATTGATGTATGCAGCAAGATTCAGATTGTATGGTGTAGTTCTGCAGGGAAATATTTGTACTGATTTTAGATATAAGTAAATGTAAGAATGATGTTGAATGTTGGCGTCATGCTTTATTCCTCTGACTGTTTTAGTCTGCAGGGATCATTACATCCACCCTGCCATCAGATCCTGCAGATCCAGTTTCCTGCATTTCCATTCATGCTTTGCTTGCGGGCTGCTTTCTGTCCTGCGTCAGCTGAATAACTGCAGCATTATATGTGACTCATGTTTATTTATCATGTGTGTGTGTGCTTTTTATTTTCAGGCCAACTTGCTTTCTATAATGCTGAAAACAAACAATTGCTGCATATGTTCAAGATGAAGTTCACACAACCTGTTGTGCCAGCTTTCATGGTATGTTTTTATACTTGTTATATGCACATGTAAATGAGGGTTATTTTCGGAAAAGAATTC